ATTATACACGGCATTGATTGAAATACCTTCCTATCTTTCCAAAATTTATTCTGTGGGTTTAAATTTTTCTGCCAGTGTTTTCATAAAGACCAAGCTAAATCTTTATCATGATACATGTGTAGATTGGGATGCATTTTGCATGAATTAGAGTGTGCATGTTTTGCATCTTCGAGGTTTGTCTACTGTTATTGCATAGTTTCGATTACTACATAATATATCCTTTTATCAAAATAAAATCAAGAACGGATTGTCATTCCCAAATCAACATCCATTTGAAAATGTCTAAAATGACTCTCAAGTCAATCGGATTCAGAGATGTGAAGCTCTTAATTTCTCGTACACGAAACATATCATATCAATCAAGGTCCTGCCGGATGCCATCATCTAATGCTTCTCGTTTGCTTTATTGTAGTTGACAGTAGCAACCAGCAATGTGACATAACTATTTTTAATTGTTGATAGGAAATTCTTTTTTTTTTTTCTTGATAGTAATGATATGATATATTCTGGTACTACACTCCTGTGACAACCGTCAGCAGTCAGCAGTCATGTCAGTGCCAACGTAGAACCTCAAGACTGATATGGTGCACTACATCGATGTGACACCTTAGACTTCGATGGGACGATCTCTTGCTCCCACGTTGTCCGAGGTCGTACAAGACGGCGCCATATAGTACAAAGTTGCTCCAGAAAACTCAAAACGATGTTGTGCAGTGTCGATCCGTGCAGATTAGTCGATGCCACACTGAAAAGTATGAGCCTATCACTCGAGGAGTCGGTGGCCATTAACAAACAATATAAAAGTCGACCTCTTGACCAGCATCAGGAGTCAGACTTTGAACACCTCAACTTCCCATAACTTCACTCAACACTAACTTGAGCTTCGGAGGGATCAAGTTGGAAAATCCCTCTCCCAACCTCGATATGTGTGTAGGAGCCTGGTAACGAAAAAACAAGACACTCGCCAAGAGAAAAGACTACACTCGAGAGACATGACTCAAACTCAACCCAACTCGACGCTTGCTTCCTCCACTCGAATATTCACATGGACAATCTTACGCATCTGGGATTGGATCGAGCTGTACTAATACCTCGACCACGGTGTAAATGTTTACTAGCAAGATCCAATCAATAGGTCATGTGAATATCATATTTTATCCATGCCAAAAAATGATAGAGGAGAAACATTTCCTAAAATATTTCTCTTCGTTAACTCATTATAAAAGACCATCAATTACTATTTATTAAATTTATTTTACCCATATTAGTTATTGACTTGAGTATCGAGGAGATCAAGTTGAGAAATCTATTCAACCTTGATCTTTGTACAAGTCAACTATGGAGCACGCACTGGAGTCTATCTCGATCCCAAGGAGCGTTTGAACCACCCCACTAATCTTATCGAGCTTCTTGTGCACATGGAATTAATTAGAACATCGTCAACTTCGTCATCGTTAGATATAGAGGTGTCAAGTATGCTTGCAAGTATGAGTACCCGCAAGAACCCACCCATAATAAGATAGGAATTTGAGGAATAAAGGAGGATAAAAATGAGGATGAAATATATTTTGTATTAATCATAAGAATATGAGGTAAGAACAAGTAAAGAATTGCCTCACCCGTATGGGATGGGGACAAGTAGAGCAGTGCCCCACCTTGTCCAACTTGTCCCTCGCCCCATCAATATGTGAGCCGAGATGTCGAGAATGCTTGGTCTATCAAATCAGACTAGATTGAATTATTATTTATAAAATTGATATTATTAATTAGTTTTGAGAATAACTTTTAAAATTGAATGAATTAATTGAAAGAATATAAATAACCCATGAATTTTTCGCCCCCAATGAAAGTTCCCCATCCTCACCTTCATCCCTTCTACGCAAGATGAGGGATTGAGATGGAGACGAGGATGAGAAAACACTCCTCGTCCTACCCTGTCCCATTGACATCCATGGTCACAATCAATTGCATACATTGATAAAAAGGAATTATCTTTTAGCCAAAAGGAAGCAGTAAAATAAAAAATCACCAAGGTCTCTTAATAGAAAGGACATACATCACCGCAGCCATGAGATCCCACAGCCAATAGAAACTACGCTTGATGGTCTAACCATCATCCTACTACTCGATCGTCTCCAAGTAGTATAACCTACAAATGCTCCATTTGACTTGCTGCATCCGACTGACACAGATCCTTCCACATCCAATCATTCATGCACCATTTAGTGCGTTTGATCCATCTTTCCAAAGCAACATGGCTACCTGAGAAGTTTCGTTTAGTATGTTTTTGGATGCATCAGTGTGCTTAAAGATTCTTGTTTGACATCATATAGAAACGCTGAATGGATGCGTGGGCTGCTGTCAGTCTCATGAATCAACATGAAGGCAGCAAGCTTTAGACATGCATGTGTACGTGTTGTAATTGCTGAGATCACTGAGATCTCCATATATCACTCACAAAGTGCTCGTCTTGTAATTGCTGGATCCCCCGGTGCTTCGATGTGTTCTTCTTTGTATGGTTGACTTGCGCCTCCATTTTCCCCAAGACAGTAAGAGCAGGAAAGGAGGTAACATACATGCATGCCCTATATCATGCAGTAAATGAAGAGAATGATGGAACTCGAAGTTTTTACTTTCTTAGGTTCAGCATAGGCCAAAGACAAAGCTCGTACGGCTCAGTTCAGCAACCAATATTGGTTTGCTAGAGTTCAACGAAGCAAGCTAGGGAAGACAAGGTTTTCCTGTCTCGTCCTCATAAAGAGGGTGTGGATATCGAGAAGAACTGGTAGGGGCAGCTGCTTCGATCAGCCTGCATGGAGCATGTGGAGGTGGACAAAAGAAAACAACCATTCATGCTTGCACTCGAAGGAGGGGAGATGTTGCTTTTAGGACTGTGGAGTCTTGTGGTTGTAGGTTAAAGCAACTGCGCAAGAGGCTGATGAGCTCGGATTGGCCTCGTCAGAGATCTGTGGATAGCTTCTGATGAGCTCCACTTTGAGGCCACACAGAGGGCAAGCATGCATGCATGATCTGTTTCATGCACCCAGGCATTAACGTATCAACGAAGCAAACTTCTGTTCTTGGTTTTTACCCCTTCATCTTTCTTTGCCTCTTCGTATTGGGTCAATCCAAACACAAAGGAACCCTCAAAAAGATAAAAAGTGATGCAAGAAGGGACTCCAACATGAAACCCACATGACAGCCAACCACCATAAATGAAAACATGGCTAGTCTAGGTGTGGATCACAAGAAAAAAAGGTGCTTCTGTTGTGGCTTGGAACTCAGCATCAGTGACACAGCAATCGAATTAGATATCTACTTAATACTGGAGCTGGCTAGAATTTGAGGTGACTTCACTATCGCGTCAACCATCATTACTTTTTTCTTCTCCTCTTTCTTCTCTCATTTAATTGTTCTACGTTACATCTTTCTACAACCATCTTCATGAGCAAGAGGCAGCTGTTTACGGATAGCTTTACGTCACATTCAGCTCTTGGAGTTGTACCGATCTCTTTCACGACACGAACGCAGATGGAGATGGACTACTACTAATTGTCTTAACCTAATGAGAACTCATTCCTGCTCCATTAATCTGGAAGCAAATCGGATTTGCGCCATGGTTTACCCGTCGAATCATCTAAGAGGTAGATGAGATGAGTGAGCTTTTGTTTTCATTAGAAGATCATTTTGTGGAACAAAGTATCTCCTTCAAGAGAAGCACATATCTCCAAATCGGCAGCAGAGAACACTTGCCTTTCATTCAATTTGATTTGATTTCTCTCAGAGCAAACATGCGATCCTATAGTGGTGGTGAGTGGACTCCATCCATCACTCCCCATGATCTAATGAAAATTTTGACTCCGGTGAGCTCGACGATGTCTTTGAGGCAGCATTGTACTTCTCTGGCCAAGTTAATGATGTCGATCTTGGCCTTCAAAGAGCTTGCTTGGCGAGCTAATAGGAGGAGTTTGGATGCTCTTCCAACGGGCGCCGCAAAGTGTTGAGATCCGATTCAAGGACAAGAAGCATAAGCAACCCCTCTCCCCTGTTGGTAGGTTGGCTAACTTCCTCAGCTCCTTCCTTGTTCCACCATCAGACAGTTTCCAAGAAGAAATCAAAGTCAATCAACTCTATTCCGCCAAAGGAGAGAGAGCGTTAACAACCCTGAGAGCATGGGAAGTAGAGACTCCAAGTCCATCATTTCTTCTGCCAGTAGGAGCAGTGGGCTTAAAGGCCCTCGTCCTACCCCACCCAGCCATCAAAGGAGCACCAAAAGTCTATCCCTTTCTGCTGACAGGGAGAGGCTTGGTATCACAACAGGAAGGCAGCGGATGAGGCTTTGCCAGCTGAGAGAGCTTAGTCCGTTAATGGGTATGCTCTCAACAGATGCGTGGTGAATAAGAGTGGTAACAAACCATTAAACAACGATGCTCGATTGGCTGAAGTTTTCATATTAAAGGAAGATAAATGTAGGAGAAGAGGGGAAGAAAAAGTCGATGGTGAGGAAAGTGATTCCAGCTCCGACCTGTTTTAGCTCGAGAGTTACATGAATCGAGGGTTAGTAGCACAAAGACTCGCTGTTTATGGGACCACGGACTTCAGAAATCAAAGCTACTGTACTGTTGAACTGTTCTATTTCTCTGTTGTTGTTACAAATCATTTTCTGATCTGGAGATTGTCTCTAGTTGACAGATTTCTGTACTTGCTTTGCGGACGGAGGAGAAGAAATCTGATCCTTCAATTGTTTCTGGTTTAACGATACTACTAATATCATCTTTTCTACTCCATCAGTATGCGGTCGGGAGGAAATAATGCACTTACTCTGTCACATCATTGTGACATACCTGCTGCAATTTTTTTGTTGCTGTACACTTAAAATCACTCAAGCGTAGTTGGAATGTTATGTCAAAACATAAATACGACTACGCCAACGCAAGATGGAAGAAGCAACCATCGATGGTGCATCCAAGAAACACGGCACAAGTCTCTTCTGGTATTTCAAACACATGATTTTTATTGCAACATCGTATCAAGAAGATATTACATTCATCAATGGTAGGCCTCCAAACAATGAGGAAGAAGAAGACTGCATCAAACAGGATAAGGTTCGATAACAACAAGTGAGTGTTTTATTTGTTATTTAATATAATGAAAATTTCTTTCTAGTTTTGTTTTTAGAAAAACAACAACAGAAAATGTGCCGTTACAAATGGTCGATTTTTCAAGCAGACTACTCGGCAGAGATGTTGCTGAGCTTTTCAGATGGATTGAGCTCATCCCAAGCCTCGATCCATGTCACCATGGCATCGGCTAACTTGTTGAAATACTCATCCACCTTCCCAAGCTTCTCTTTAACCTGCTTGGAGAGCTCGATGTAGCATTCTTGAGGTGTCGTGCACTTCTTCGGAATGGAAACAGCTTGGAAGAAAGGGATCACCTCTTCCTGCCAGTGGATCCCATGATACTCCTTTTTAAGGTTCACTAACGGGTTGCTGGCCTTGCTATGCCAGATGTAGGGCAAGCCCGTCTTCACGCCCAATCCCAAGTGGTCACAGATCACCTAAAACCAAATGAATGGCATGAGTCAACTTCAGCCATCTGTAGCCATTTATGTCCCTAATGGAAAGAACTCAGCTTAATTGTAAAAAACAAGTATAATAAACAAAGTATAGTGCATAGGAGTTTTTCTTCCAAAAGAACAAGAACTCGAAACTACAAAGGTTATGATAAACATATCTAGATGGTGGATGACAAAAGAACAAGTGGGAAAATGCGTAACTGACCTTCACACACCATCCTGCCCACATATCATCATATCGACGGATGGGTTGGCCATCACCCATAAGTCCGAAGTACATTGCAGGGCCTATTAGCTCACGGTTGAATGCTAGATTCATCCCGCACATGGGAAACAGTGCACCTTTTGGCACAGTTATCACCGCATCAACATACCTGCGAGCAGTATCAATTTTAGTCACACTTCCATACTTTTGAATCCACCAATCAATACACAAAACTCTTGCCTGGCGTTTCTTTCATGAGGTTTGACAAGCTGAGTGGGGGCATCATAGTCTGGAATGTTGAGCCATAATCCATGAGAAACAGCAGTCGGGACACCTTCACGGAGGCTGAAAGGGTAGCCACGAACAAAGTCTGCACCTTCACGGTAAGGATCATACAGAGTGTTAAAGAAAAAGGGGGTGGATGGAGAAAGGAGATTCTTGATGTGTTGCTCAGACGCATTGATCTCCTTGCCGGAGGGGTCTTTGGCAACCTAATAAAGGGCAAAAACAGTTGCTATTGTCAGCAAAACAGGTTCAATCATGATCAGAAGCACCGTAAGCGACTACAGACTACTGGTAGAGTACAAAGAAGTAGCATGGACAGCAAGGAGAAGTATATGAAGGTGACACGAATAGCTGTTCAAGCGTAATGTCACTTTTAGAAGTGAAAATTTATCAACCAAGCCAGGGATCTTCCTATATGTTGATAGCACAAAACCAGAGGGAACTATAGTTACTGATCTTACAAGTTTATGCCATAAATATAGTGAAAGAAAACTAAGAGATCTAACACCATGTAACTTGACTTGGCACAAAGGCCCCCCAATCACAAATCGAACAATATGATCATCATCTGTTGTGCAGATTCTCACTGTCCAGAGCTGCAAGTAATGCTGGCCATGTCATGTAATGATTTTCGCATCAAAAGCAAATTTGTTAACAGACTGCCACAAGTGTTTTCAATGCAAGTTTTACAACAGAAAAGAGAATCAGACAACACAGAACATTACATCGTAATAAGATTAGGTAAATGCAAAAAGGAATTAGATGAACCGAACATTATTCTGAGAAGCTTCCAACAGAGTACAAATATTCGGAAAATATAAACCATAGAACAATACACATTTATCGATCCACTGACAACATGTAGCAAATGATATGATGGTTAGATAAAATATTTGATTAATTAATCATGAAGAAATAAAGTTTCCTTCATTTGTATGATTCATATTGTACCTATGGAATGATAAATAGCATCAGTGCAACATTTTAACGCCAAAGATCACTTTGGAAGAAGGTAAGTGAACTATGCGACGTTTACTACCATTGACTTGGATTTAAACATTTCAGGTCACATAGTTTCAGACCAATCAAGCTAATAGTGAATCAAAATTTCCACGTATAATGAAGGCTCAAGTAGAATTATTAACCTATCAAGCTAATAATGATCCTTAGAGAACCGAAAGTCTTATTGTTGCTTTCTTCATTCTTCCCCACAAGTTTGAAGCTGTGGAAATTTTACATATTTAGAGAGAAACCAATAGTCGTGTTGATTCTTTAAATACGCATCCTAGAAAGGAAAGAAACAAAGAAAAGAAGAACAGTTCCACAAAGGTTGGGTAATTTAATCATGAAGAAAGAAATAAAAAGAAAGTTTTGATCGTCCCCAGCGTTTCCCTCCCTTCGCTCGAAGAGAAACTCAAATTTACGATCATAAGAAACAAGCAAGAGAAAAGGGGAAATAACGAATCTCTCTCCCGGTTTCCGCAAGCGAGATCAAGCTTCAAGATCCAAAACCCACGAAGGAAACACAAAAAAAAAAGGAGGCGGGCACTCACGAAGCAGTCGTCGTCGACGGTGAAGACGTACTTCTTCTTGGAGACGAGGAAACCGAAGCAGCGGCAGGTAGAGTCGTTGAATGAGATACAGGCGGCCTTGGGGCCGAGGATGCGGTTGATGTCGTTGCGGTTGTAGAGCTCGTAGTCGAAGCCGTCCGGCACCGTGATCGTCTTCCTGGGGTCTCCGTCCTGGACGATGATGAGGTGGTAGGGCTGGAAAAAGGGGCGCCACATCTCCAGGAAGTCCAGGTTCCGGATGGTCGGAATCACGATGTCGACCTCGTCCTTGAGCAGGGGAGTGCTGGGGATGCCTGACGAAGTGCCGACCGCCATGGCCAAAGGTTCGGGCTTTCGGTGGGGAAGGGGATGTATCTCCGGAGATCCGAGGCAGAGAAGCGCAGAAACGAAAGAGGGTAGGAGGTTCCGTCCTCCAGTCCCAATGTTTTAGCACGTGCATGGCTGTAATGAGCACGTGCGAAGGGGAGTGTAAACCGGCCCGGCCCATAGACGGGAATTTGACCCAAGTCTATTTATTTTATATCAGATTGTTGTGATATATACGTCACCCTCTTTGGTTGTGATATCTGAGCCATGCCGACGCGCGCTAGTTCGGGTTCGGTTATGGGCCGATTCCAAAGAGGATATGTTGAGCTCAGCCCATACAATGTTTTAGTAGTCAATTTAGGTTGGCCACCAAAATTAGGGGTGATGGTCGATCCAATTCGAGTCGAATCCAACGAGAATCACCATCTAAATTCGAGACTAAACTTGGTCTGAGTCCAATAGATTCACGAGCCAGGATCTCAAATCTTTTGGTGGATTCATATTAAGTTTGTACACATGTAAGTATCAAATATTCATGCCCATTCCATAAGTTTATTGGATTAAAATGGGAATCAATATTCGACAATTTTGGCAGCATTCAAGTCACACCCTTAATTAGGAGGAGGCACAGAATCAATTAATCTCTGTACTTGATGCTTGAGGAATCAGCTTTAATTGAACAGGCTGAGCAGAAAAGAAATAGAAAGATGGGGCATCTTCTTCACGCTGTGTAAACAATGGTGAGATGTAAACCCTGGATGGCGACCGCTCACTTGCTGCCGTCTGCAACACAAAATACATGATCCCAAGAATAATAAATCGTTTCATTCCAGTGGACAAATTGTATTTCCATTCTGGACCAATCATATATATATATATACACATGAGAAATTGGATTCTCGTTCCTGAACTCATCAGATATCTTTGCCCAAATCAGAGTTCTTCTGGTGAATTATCTCTGTCGATCATATCATTAATTTCATTCATTTCCAGGGTTTCCATGTAAGAGCAGTATATAGCAAACATATATGTTGATTCTTCTTTAATTTTCCTCGTATTTTGATGCATTTGAAGTCTCAACCGACAAGCGTTGGGAGGTATTCTTCAAATTTCGCGCGTCCCTTTCTTTCTAATCTCACCAAACACACATTGCTTCGAAACTGAGGAATTAAACTACAAGAAAACCCGAAGAAAAAGAAGAACTGAGAACGATAGCAGACTTTCTTCTTCTTCTTCTTCTTCTTCTAACATCGCCAGCTAATTAGTTGGTGAGTGATGATGCACTTCTTCTCCATAAAAACCCACAAGCTGCTCCTCCATTCACTCAGCAGCAGCCTCTTCTGCCAAAGCAGGCGATTCTGGTGAGGTGAATCGCCGAGGATGGAGCTGAATCAAATCGGTCGCCCGAGTCGAAGATACCTTGCAGCAGATGATTGGTCGAGCTGTTCGCTTGTTCTGTTCATCTCTGTTCTCGCGCTGATGTTCTCTCCTGCAGGTTCTGATTTCATCTTGGATATAAATGAGGTGAACGAGTTTAGATTCACACGTTCTGATCTAATCGTTCATGACACAGTGGCTTATGATCCATTGGACCCGACCGGAAACATTACCATCAAATGGGATGTGATCTCATGGACGGCAGATGGATATGTGGTATGTGTCTTCCTCCTCCGCAAGTACTTTTTGCCTTGCTGACACTCGAGAGACGGATTCTGAACGCATCGACATGTCATTGCAAGGCCGTGGTGACGATGAACAATTTCCAAATGTACCGGCACATAATGAGCCCAGGGTGGACGCTGGGTTGGACGTGGGCAAAGAAGGAGGTGATATGGTCCATGGTGGGTGCTCAGGCCACGGAGCAGGGTGACTGCTCCAAGTTCAAGGCCAACCTTCCTCACTGCTGCAAGAAGACTCCGGCCATCGTCGACTTGCTTCCCGGGGTCCCTTACAACCAGCAGATAGCTAACTGCTGCAAGGGAGGCGTCGTCGGGGCCTATGGCCAGGATCCCGCAGCTGCAGTCTCAGCTTTCCAGGTGAGTGTTGGCCAATCCGGCACATCCAACAAGACGGTGAAGCTTCCCCAGAACTTCACCTTGCTGGGACCTGGACTCGGCTACACCTGCGGGCCAGCCAAGGTTGTGCCGTCCACCATATTTCTGACGCCGGACAAGCGGCGGAAGACGCAGGCGCTCAGTAAGTCTCTGCTCATAAGCTTCTGCTGCTGTACTCCGCTGCCATCCTCTGATGAACTCTGTATGGTGGTGGCTGTGCAGTGACCTGGAATGTTACGTGCACCTACTCACAGTTTCTTTCCTCCAAGCACCCAACCTGCTGCGTCTCCTTCTCCTCCTTCTACAACGACACCATAATCCCTTGCCGCTCCTGCGCCTGCGGCTGCGAGAACAAGAACTGCATCAAGTACGCTGTCTGCACTACTTTCTCATCCGGGTAGGCAACAAGCTTTACATTCCTGATCGGTGCCTCCTGCAGAAGGGACTCCAATCTGCTAAGCACGCCGGGGATCAACACGCCCAAGAAGGACAACGCGCCGTTGCTGCAGTGCACCCAACACATGTGCCCCATCCGCGTGCACTGGCACGTCAAGCTCAACTACAAGGACTACTGGCGCGCCAAGATCGCCATCACCAACTTCAACTACCGCATGAACTACACCCTGTGGACGCTGGTCATCCAACACCCCAACCTCGACAACGTCACGGAGGTCTTCAGCTTCGACTACAAGCCACTCGTTCCATATGGATTCATCAGTGAGTCAAAGGAGCATGCAGATCCTTCATTCCCCTTCAGCTTCTGCCACAAACAGGTCTGACTCGTGGTTCTGCTTGCAGATGACACCGGCATGTTCTACGGAATGAAGTACTACAACGATCTGCTCATGGAGGCCGGGGCGTACGGCAACGTGCAGTCCGAGTTGCTCCTCCGGAAGGACGCGAGCACGTTCACGTTCAAGAAAGGGTGGGCGTTTCCTCGGAAGGTGTACTTCAATGGCGACGAGTGCATGATGCCACCACCAGATGCTTACCCCCACCTGCCGAACTCTTCCCCTGTCGGTGCTCCGCCGCTCATTCTGCACAACCTCGCGGTGTCGGTGCTTGCCCTTATACTGATGGTGATGTGGTAGGCATGAGGTGATGATTATTGATCCAAAAGGAATTTTGCGCAGTGTGCATACATGCTCGATCTTATGGTGGTGGGGTTGCTCTGGTTTTGGTTGCTTCGAGGAATTCAGCAAGGTCATGTCGAGTTTACATTGAATTCAGCCCAGAAATCTAATAGTTTTGTCTGTTTGAAACATGTTCGATGCAGAAACCCTAAAAACACTTCGGTCTCTTTTGGAATCTGTTAAATTGCTAAGACAATGTTCAAGAACATGTAAGTATGCTCTGATTCCGACAACTCTAAATACAAGGCAATGTGCAGTCGGGATAACAATCAGATGGGAGTTTTCACCAACTTCAACATGACATTAATCTGCATATAGTGTATCTATCTGCAATGATCGCTCTCGATTCATTTATGAAGCATTCCTCATCAAGCATAAAAACGATAAGCATATCCAACCATTACAATTAACATTCCAGGTTCCGAATGAATATGAACTTTAATATATCATCAGCTACCAACAAGGATTTCTACAGATCTTGCAGCCATCTACCAAAGCAAGAGCGTGCAGCCCATGGATCTAAACAAACATGCCAGATGTCTAAAAATTAAAGTTGATCTCAAATGGACTAGCTGTTTAATGATGCACAAGCCAATTGTAGCATTGCATGAGTGAAGGCCAGTGAAGTTTGTAATTCTCAAAATGAATCCCACAGGCCAACATCACATTAACTTATTATCTTTTATAATAAACCTGTGATCATACATTAACTAGCAACGGGACTCCCTCCCCACCATAACTATGCTATGGAGCGACAAAGTATTCAAGTAACCAAGAGGAAAAAGAGACATTTGTTTCGAAGTATCGATCTACATAGACACATCAACAGGGCCCCACAGTTATCACATAGCTTACCCGGAGCCGCCGTTACTGACATCCAAAACCGAGGCAGCCGTCGAATCCAAGAACCACACTAATTTTCCATCAGTTGGCTGAACCATCCTAGCAGGCAACGAAGAGGCATCAAAGTTCTCACCGGCGCCAGCAGCGGCAAGGTGCACTGCCATGGCCTTCTCCTCGCCCACAGCCACCATAGCAACATTAGAAGCAGAGTTGATTACAGGGAGTGTGAAAGTAATCCTCTCAGGTGGAGGCTTGGGAGAATCAGTGATATAAGTAACCCACTCCTCTTTCAGTTCAAGGGCTGGGTGGTGAGGGAAGAGTGAAGCAACATGTCCATCAGGTCCCATGCCAAGAAGGATAAGGTCGAATTTGGGGCAATCATTGCTTTCAGAAACACCCACAGTCCGGATCTTCACTAGCTGACGAATGGCAAACTCGTACTCTGCTGCAGCTTCTTCCACTGTAACATTGTCATTTATGGAGAATACATGGCTGTTGAGAATGGGAACCTAATAATACGATTAAGAGACAAATGTTAGGAATAGTTATAAAAAGGCAAACCAGATAGGGCAGGTGGTCAAGGAGAGATCCTGGTCCCTATTGAAATGGAGCCTCTTCAACCAACCTATGTGATCTAAATTCAGATACACTCATGTGATCTAACAGACAAATAATATTCCTGTATTGGCAATGTGAACTTAAGCAATACAAGATTGACCACCCTAAAGATGTAAATACAAGATATGCCAGGTGGTCAGATCGGAAAGAAAATATATTTTGGTTGGAAAATATTTTTTCACATGTTCATCAAAAAATGAGCATGCGTGCCTTGCATAAGATCAAAAGTAGTAAACATATGCCTTTGTATAAGATAGGAAGGGCTAGTGTTTGAAGTGTCAACAAAGTCATAGCCAAATATGTAAGAGCATAATCCTCACTTTTTCTATGATCATGTTCAATTAATCCTAGGAGATATGCAAGAAATACATCATACATCAAACAATAAGATATGGTACAATCTGGAATGATTGCTATAGCAAAGTAATGGCATAACTTTCTT